CTAAGCCAAAAAATACTTTGTAACGCAATGAGGTCACGGCTCAAAAAGAGTTGAAACAAACTCTGCTTTAAACCTCACCGAAGCAACACAACAATAGTCATCATGAGCAAGACAGAAAAAACAACAGAGGCCAAAGTGCAACTCAACAACAGAGTTCACTTCAAACCTCTCAAAGCACCGATAGTAAAAAACACGTAGGAAAGGGTTAATGAGATCATTGACTAAATGCATCGCGGAAAACTCATTGATGGCTTAGAAATGGCTTTCACAAACTCCCAATATCCGCCTTCGGATACACATTAGCCATTGCCGAAAACTATTTTTACTAATCACCCGATAATTTCTTACAAAAAGAAAAATCCCTTACGACAAGCAAAAATACAGTTCGAAGGCGATAAAGCGATGCGACCACAAAAGCCACATGGGGAGTCCGTGCCGTTCTTTGTTTATTTTTATTCGCATGGCAAAAATTCATCGTTTGTCGGCGCAAAACTATCCGCAGAAGCTTCAGATGATTTGTGGGACAATTCATCGTCTGAATAAGTCGACATTTCCCGTCTGACAACGAAACAGTTCTCAAAAAAGTAATATGTGTGATTCTCTGTGCAGCGGACAAAGAGAGTTGTGACAAAGCAAAGCATAAGTTTGTTGAACCTTTGACGTCATGATGACGTTTTTGCGGGCTCGGCTGGAACATGTTTTCAGCAATGGCGTACGATTGTTGGACGACTTTGAAGCGGTAAAAATTGGTCATCGAAGGTTTGTTTTGAGTTTTTAATGGCAAAAAGGGTCGTAACTTGACCCAATTCAACATTGTGTAAACAATTTAGGCCGAAATAAAATGGTCAATTTTCGTCTCTGGGGCACTTTAACAGGTTTCTTTATTGGCAGAATTTCAGCCCTTGGCAAATTCTTTGCCTCATAACAAACAGAGAATATTTCCAGACATTTATTACTTAAACTTTTAATGTACTTAATCCTGTTTGAGTGAAGACAGCCCATGAGGCCTTGCAAATCAAATGCACATAACAGATGACCATTGTTGAGTCTGGTTCCAGGCCCTCCCTGCCTTCTTCTGGTATTACGGTGGTCAGCTGTTTCTGACTAGAGTATGAGGTGTTGGCACAGTAGTTATTATCATCCTTGTCCTGTCTACCTTGTTACACTCCGTTTTAAAAGAAGGCCAAGAGCAAGGCCTTTTATAGAACAACAAATTTTCATGAAAGAAGTTTTGCAGCCTCATTATGAAACTGAGGCTTTAAGAACTTGGGATTGGTCAGGAGCCCATAACTTGTGCACCTAGATTGCTGCATTACTGATTCTAAAAGTTCGTATCTAATTGTGTCCTTTTTGGGATTGCAGTTTATTTATTTTGTACTCAAGATATTTTGTTCTTTCTTTGTTTCAGCTGTTATTTAGTTGGACTGAAAAAGGACAGATCATATGGAAAGCTAGCTCCATTTGGCGCATACTTCCTTATGGCTGGATGGCTAGTTTTTGTAATTTAAATACTTGGAGAAGATGGGTTTACTCTCATAGTGCTGGCTAAAAGATTTGAATAGGTTAAACCTCAATTTAACAATCAGTCAAGTTTCTTGACCTGCCTGTGGACGTTGCACAATAGCTTCTTAGTTGTACAGAAACTAGAGAGAATTTTCAATCAAAAGTCCAAACTATAATGCATACAGTTTTTACTTCACGTTGCCTTTGATTGGTCCAAAGTCGAGCCAGACGAAAAACTTTAACCAACCACGTGATGGTCATTCACGCTTTCCCGCGCTTTCTTGTGAATTGTTCTGATAGGTTGTTGTGATCACTTCGGCTATGGTTTTACAACATTCACTCAAAAAGTGCTCTGAGACCTTGTCTTATGAAAATAAAGATTTCTGATGGGTAGCAATTGCCTTAAAATAGAACGTACCATTCCACCCGAGTCTGTGTACTGTCTTAGCGTGCTCAAATATTAAAGAATCACTCTTAGATTCTGAAATATCACAAAGCGCAACCCGAATAATTCAATAATCCTGTACCCGCTCAAGAACAATACAAACAGCGGCACAAACAACCTTAATCGACCATTTCATGCAATACAAGGTAATTTTGGTTTTATCAACTGAGTTGATAACAGAATGGCCATCACAAGGAGTTTCAAAGCTGACTTTTGGAGCGTAAGCCGTTCGGTAGAGCGTTAGCGCGCGCAACATCAGCTTTGAAACTCTTACGGTGGCCAACTTAGATTAGCAACTCAGTTGATAAAACCAAAATTACCTCGTTATATTTCCCCGCCGACGCTACACCACAGTCTCATCCGAAACTTGTCCTATTAATTTTACGTAATAGTCGGGTGTATCAACGAAAGTCGGTTACCAGCGGTCTTTCCACCACCTTATGACTTTCACTCCCTAAATCTCATTAGTTACTCTCCTTATTGCCTGTCGTACGGTTCCTTTGAGGTTACTTTGGAGAGTTTGTTATCTGACCAACTAATAATCTTCTAGTTAATTGACATTTTTATTTATTCTCACCATATGTAGGGCTGACCTCACGATTTTCCCTTTTCAGGATGTATTTTTTACATTTGCGTTCTAGCTTCCTGAATAAATGTTATGTTATGTTATGTTATGTTATCTCGACGCCGGAAAGCGAAGTCTACGAACCTCCACGGATTTTGTCACCATTACATATGAGCTGATCAATATCCACCTTTAACAACTCTCTGGCAGAATATCTTACACAAAGGAAAGTACTCGGTGAACATTGTGAATAAGAATAATAAAATAGCCGAATTGCGGATTGAGATTTCTGACCTCAAAGAGCTCACTTTTATACAAAAGAGATGAAAAATATAGTTGTGTGCTCTGATTCTAAAAGAAAGCTGGCTTTAATATCAGCGAAAGCAGAACAAACAGCTTAAGACACAGAGCACAAAAACACTTTAAAATGTAGGCTTGCAGCCAAAAAACCGAGAAAATGAAATTTCTTTAAAAACCTGTCAAACTATCAACCATCTGACAGCCACGTCAGCGTGCTACCAAAGGGTCTCAAATTCATCACAACGCCCGTGACAAAAGAATTTAAAATCAGGCCAACTTTTGCGGGATTTATTCGCAAGACGAGTGCACCTCCGTTACACCTTTCACGGACAAAACAAAGAACCACTTCTGTTTCATATCAAACTGAATGCCACCGGTTCAGTCTTCTATCGCCCCTCAGAGCTACTTGGAAAATTGTCATAACGCTTCTTGCAGACTGCACCTAAGCCAAAAAATACTTTGTAACGCAATGAGGTCACGGCTCAAAAAGAGTTGAAACAAACTCTGCTTTAAACCTCACCGAAGCAACACAACAATAGTCATCATGAGCAAGACAGAAAAAACAACAGAGGCCAAAGTGCAACTCAACAACAGAGTTCACTTCAAACCTCTCAAAGCACCGATAGTAAA